AAGATTGCATAGGGCAATGTGGCGTGTTACGAAAGGAAAAAAATTGGAAGTTGCTATAAAAATACTCAAAGAAGAAGAATGGTGTTCCACTAAAGAATTTTTAGAATTAGCTGGAAAATGGGGTCAATTGAGATCAGGTGCTTTAGTAAGGTAGCTATACAAATTTTTATTTCAAGTTATTTTTATATTTGATGAAATCAGTAATTATTTTGATTCACAGACTGTATGGTTTAACTGTAACACCAGCGATTGGAATGTTATTAGAATTAGTAAGACTTGGACCATTAGATGCATACTTACGTAGCACTTCTCCACAAACTATAAAAACAGTTGATATGGTTGAAGCAGCTGCATGTTTAGCCAATGCACTATGGCATTTGGTACTTATATCTCATCTGCTCTTTTAATTATAATCTTAGTTTGTTTTTTATTCTTTACTAAATTTTTGAGATACACTTGCAGGAGGAAAATGGTGTTATTCATGGAAACATTAGATGTAAAAAACTTCTTGTTCATGCACACACAGATAATAGTTTCATAGTTAAATTAGCTGATCCTGGTCTTTTTATTTATACAGATAAGGAGTAAGTTTTCTATACGAATTTATGTTATGCTTTTTCAATATAGTTTTGTGACCAATTTTTGAATATATTATAATTATGACACTTCTGTTATATGGTACATAGTGTACATTGGTTGCCACCTGAATTTTATTCAAATCCGGAAATTGCAAAATGTAATTTCCAAACAGATATATGGGCTGTAAGCACTACAGTTTGGCAAATTTTTTCAAGGGGAGCAGAACCTCCCACATACCATGACCTGAATATTGTGAAAAAGGTTTATGATAACAAACTAAATCTTAAAATTAAGAGTAAAAATGTCCTATATTAATACTTAATCATCCAACAAATTTTCAGTATTATGAAAGTGGTAAACGTTTGCCTATACCAAGTAGCTGTCCAGTAGAAGTTTATAAATTAATGTTAGAATGTTGGGGTGAATCTAATGGTATAAGAAAACAGCCTCAAGCAATAATGCGTGATATCAATCAAATTCTCTATCAAGTATACAATTCAAGAAGAACGCACGCATATGCGACTGCATTTCCTAAACTATTTAGTGATTCTGATCATATACATGAAGATGATTCTGATACAATAGACGATAAATCCATAAATTCAGAATCACATGCAAGTAGTCTTATTACTGATAGAACTAGTTTACCTTGGGATGATATCGATGACAGTGAGTACAAAAGATCATATTTTTTATTATATGCAAAGTAAATCACTCAGTTATCTTTTCTTTTTTTAGACACAAAAGAATTAATTAACATTAATGAAAGTTACACCGGTAGTGCTGAAGAACTTTCAAATTATTTAAGTTGGTTAAAAAGTACAGCCAGAGATATAGAAAGTTGTAACGATCGATCAATGGCAGGTGTTATTAACTGTTCAGATCGTACAACACATGCTCTTCGTATTACTCATGATGGTAGTATCGGCGACGTTAGCATAGTTAATAATAATTGTAGTAGTGTAAGCGACGATGGCACTCGAATGCAAAATATTTTTGAGTTGAATGCGGATTGTTATATTATTCTACAAGGTCGAATAGGCCAAGGATTTTATGGTGAAGTTTATAAAGGTATACTGGAAAGGGATGGCGGAAAAGATATAGAACCACAACAAGTGGCTGTAAAAAAGTTGAAAACTCGTGCTTTAGAAGCCGATTTACGTGATTTTGAAAGAGAAATATCTATTATGAAGGTGAATCAGATTGTATCGATTTTTTATTTTTCTTTTAATTTTGTTTTTATTCACAGCTTATTTATTCTCTTTATTTTTATATTTTAATTTTTATTGTGCAGACTCTAAAACATCCAAATGTCGTAGAAATTTTGGGTGTCATATCAGAACCTGAAGTATGTTTAGTAATGGAATTTGTAAAACATGGATCACTTCAAAGTTACTTAGCTTTACATCGACAAACACTTACTCATAAAAAATTACTTGGTTTTGCCTTAGATATTGCCACTGGTATGGATTATCTAGGACATAAAAGTATTGTTCACAGAGATCTTGCTGCAAGAAATATCTTGGTTGCAGATGAGAGTAAGGTGAAAATTAGTGACTTTGGTCTGGCTCAAGTAACTGGAAAAAATGATTACTACATACTTCAAACTAATCGAGATCTCCCAATAAAATGGTTAATATATATTATATTTGTATATTTCGCCTTTATTCTGTTTATAGCCTATTATTAAAAGTTTTTTTTCCATTAATAATATTTCTTGTAAATGAAACAATTATTTTTATTATATTATAGGTATGCACCTGAAAGTTTAAGAGATGGAAAATTTTCACCACGTTCAGATGTTTGGTCGTTTGGTGTAACAATGTATGAAACATTTGGCTTAGGTAAAGATCCAAAGTTACCGGGTATCGTTTCAGATGTTAGAGATAAAAGTGCAAATGAAATCAGTGATTCTGAGATAGGTATAGAAGAAGGAAGTGCAGAATTATTAGCAGCTCTTGAAAGAGGTACTAGGCTTCCTTGTCCACCAACTTGTCCGCAACAAATTTACGTCAAACTTATGTATCCATGTTGGTACTTACATAGTCATAAGAGACCAGATTTTGCATCTCTCTGTAGAGATATTAGAGAACTGCTTAACCATTATTAAAATATTAATAGGAATAGTTTTAAATAATCGTGTTCCTTAAGGAATAAATATCTAGTCGACGATTTTATTCGCGACGTGTTATGTATTAAAAATATACTAAATATTTTGTTTTAAAAATGTTTTTCTATTCCTCATTTAATCCTTCTCTAAATTCCTGTATGTCATAAGCATACATAAGTATTAATTATATTAATTTCTTTTGGCGTTAAATACCAAAAAGAGAAACAAATTAATTTTAATTTTTTAATAAGTTTATAAGTCGAGATAAATTTCTATGTAATTTTATTCATGTATAATCAATTTATTAATGAGCTTAAAGGAATGTAGAATTATTTCTATCAATAAAATCAAATTCTCGAATGCACAACATAATACATAGGAACTTTTACCTATCATATGCAGGCATATTGTTAATATTTTTATTGACTTTAAACAAACATTAGTTTTTATGATTATTGAGTTTAATAGTAACGATCATAGATGGTTCTTCAGTATTCTTTAAACTTTCTCTAAATAATTGAGCATGTTGCCAAGCAAGATCACCTTCCCCACCAGAAAGTTTTACTGTAATATTTAATTTTGTTGTTCCTTTTAATTTTTCTGTAGCAAAATCATTGCATGTACAAATAGGAATAATTATGGAAGCATTTTTTTTCTTTATAGAAGGAAAAAAGCCTTCCACTTCCCAAGAAATATTTGCACCATGAAAAATTTTAGTTTTTGCCTGTAATTTAAATGTCTCTATACATAAATCTGGGTTTCGAACTTCAAACGACCATTTTACGTATCCGTATTCAGCATTTACTGAACGAGATAAATATGCCACCTTCCAATCATTTTCTATTTTATGAAAAATGCCACCTTCAACACTATTTACTCCCTCTTGCCAATCAAATTTCTGTTCCAAGATATAGCCATCAGAATGTATAACTTTATATACATTTTTAACAATAAAATATTGAAGAATAAATGATTTGCCACCTTTGGAAATATCCCATATATAATTTTTTTTTACATTGCGCTTAAAAAGAAATTGAAAAAAGGGTAAACAATAATTAATTGAGAAATTATGGATGCAAATGTGATAAAATATTTCTTTATACCTGGTCAATTTCTCCTCGTGCCATTCTCCATGCATAAGAACCTGTTGTTCTTCCATGGTAATTATTATCGTCATCATTGTTTGAAATGTTTGGAAAATTAAGCATTCCTACAAGCTCCTGGAGACGCCGTTTGATAACATATTGTTTACGTGCCATGCTGTAACTTACAGAGTTTTGATGTTCCTCATTTAATGTTTGAAGTAAATTTAATAAATTTTCTTCTGAACATTTTTTTCTCCTTGCCATTACATCAATTTGATTTCGCGTATAACGCCAAGTAACATCTTGAACTTCGTCTCGTGAATAAGCTAATATATAGCTTAATTTTTTATGCCATCCACGTTCATACATCAATGGCTGATCTATTATATTTTCACATGGATCTACATGAATCCATCTATTTTCAGTAACAGACCATATCTATGAAAGAATGAGAAATTATTGACAATTATAATAGTAATGTATAACTTTACATACATACGTACATACTATTTCGTACATACTTCTGTCCACAGATGATCTGTTACATCATATATAAGTCTTGCATCATAATTTAGTGAGCGACAAAAAAGTGTGAATAAATTTGCCCATTCCCCACAACGTCCACATCTAGAAGTTAACAATACTTCTGGATCTGTATACCGCGGAAATTCCACTATTGCATTGCAAGAATTACATCTAAGAATAATAAATACCATTTCATAGATAACAGGATATATTTTCAAACGTATGTATTAATCACTTGAATGAATACCTATGAACTTCTATACGGGAACACCTTGGATCTGAAGAAGGTCTTACACTTTCATATGAACATTCCATAGAACAGCTAGTACATAATGGGCTATCAATCCATTGAAAGAAATCATATTTAAACCAGTGCAGAAGTTCCATTAAAAATAAATCTAATGAACCTACTAAATCTTCTTTTAAAGCTGAGTCTGACTTCATTTCTTTATTAAGTGCAGCAAGTTTCATGTTCCTGTGAAAATATATATATATATATATATATATATATATATATATATATATATATATATATATATGAACATATTTATATAAATAATTATGAAAAAGGAAAAAAGAGAACATTAATATCTCTACTTTTGAAATTTTCTTAATCTTTCCATTGTCTTGATTTCCAATTGCACAACTGGTATTACTTTTCTAGCTTCCTCTTGTAAGTCATGATCTTCATATCGCATAACACTATAAAACTGTTTAATAATTCTATTAAAAAATTCGTTTTCTGTTGATAATTCTATTGATGATTCTGTTGCTTCTACAACAGTTTGGCTCTGATCCAAATTTGTAGTGTTTAATTTCGATTTAACAATTGAAGATAGTAACTTCTGTAAAGTCTCCAATTTTGTGAGTAATGCAGTCTTTGGAAGACAAAGACGATCACCATCCTGTTTATTCAATTTATAACAAAATATATAAATTAGTTTATGTTTTATGTTTTATTATGTCTTTCTGTACCTCTATAAAACCTATTTCAAATAAACATTCCATGGCACCACTTGCTGGAAGTAACTTTTCTACGACATCAGGATCATTGAGATAAATTATACGATAAATTTTTTCTTCGGGAAAATGTAAAATCTTTTCACAGAGTTTTGACAGTACACATCCAGCATTATTCCGAATAGAAATCTCATTTTCATTCAACATATCTACATAATGACGTAAACGTTCATCCATGATATCAATAAATTAATATACAACTTTAAAAAATTTTCTGAAAAAGCTAAATAAATGATATAAATTGCTTAGACAAATTTCTTGGACTTAAAATCAAATTTTTCCATGAAAAAAAAATATTAAGCAATCATACCATTTCACTTATCTCTCTCAATATGTTTATTTATGAAAAAGATTTTTGTGTGCTTTATCAATTATCAAAATTAATAATTAACACCAAGTTTCATTGATGATCTTTTAAAGTACATTTGAAATTACAGACATTGATCGTCTAATAACTTAATGACTAAGTAAAAAGGCAAATATTATAAAAATACTTAGCAAACATGACAATTTATTTATCTGTTAGGTTATTTGAGCATAGATTAAATATCATCATGGTGATCCTCTGATGTAAAATATGTTGCTTAGTTTTTACATTGTTAATTTATTATGAGATTCTTTTAAATATTTTATATAAAAAAATAGACATAACACTAAACATTTTTCTATCGAATGGAGTTATAAACAAATTAACAAACTTTTCTATTCATAGAAATAAAGTTTTATGTTTACAAATTTACTTATTCAACATGGCGCTATTAAAAAGGCGCATAATAGTGGTTTAATTTGTTACGATTACATATTGCTATAAGAAATCATATTTTAAATTCGGATAAACGTAAAGTAAATATTCTTTATATTTTTGTTATACGATTTATGTGAATTATTATTTTTAGAATTCAATAATATTTAAAAACAAATATGGATGCCGATTTTGAGGATCTGTCACACGACATGGAGCTCATTTCGAGGTTAAAACAACTTCACCAAACAACCTTAAGATTCGAAAATAGAATTAATCTTGCTAATGATCCTGCTATATATGACAAACTTTCTAATAGCGACAAAATAAAATACAACTTACTAATGTCTTATAGTCTTAATAGCATGTTCTGGATGTATTTACGTGCTGAAGGTAAATATTCATATACAAATTTTTAATAGAACAATATGATTTAAAGTTTTACTTCTATTTTATATTTCTTTCTTGTATATAGGTATTGATCCTACAAAACATCAAATAAAAAATGAAAATGATAGATTAAAAAAGTCAATGGAACGTGCTAAACAAATCAATGATAAAAATACGCTTATGCCACGTGTAGATAAAAATGCAGCACAAAGATTTATAAGAAATAGTTTATGGGAACCAAAAGTACATGAGAAAGATAATAAAGAAAGTAAAGGAATAAATGAGAAAGATACAATCTCAAAATAGTCTATTGCGGAAAAATCTATACTTGTTCAATATGCTTATTTTAGTATTACAGTCTACAATTTATCTATATAAATCAATTATGAGTTAATATAATTTGCTATTGTTTCATACCTTTTTTTATTTAATATTTGTAAATAATAATAAAGTTATTTACAATTTGTTTATATTTAAATATAACAATGATTGTCAAATTGACATTTTATGTAGGATAGACTAGCTAAATGGGATCATTCAAATATCTGCTTTATTTATTCTTATATGAAAGAAACTTCTCAGGACAGAAAATTGGACTATTTCAACGGACATATGTAACGGGATAGAAATAATTTTTTTGCAGTCATTGTTTTACGAAATTTCAAAATCATTAGTACTTTTTTTGAATAGAACTCCATATTTATTTTTCGACATTCTTGTAGAACAACTTGTATAAAATAGAAATTCAACAACCTTAGTAATCATACTATTTCTATCAATTTAATCTTAAGATATTTGTATCTGAAGATAACAAAAATTTCTTAAAAACTCACTGATTCACGTATTTATTTTACTTAAAGAAATACATGACTCTGTTAAAGAAATACGTGAAATAAGATGACCCTGAAATTTTGTAAAAAAAAAAAATGACAGAAGAAAATATTTCCACAATAACAATAAACATTTAGATGATTCCATTCAACTAGTTCATCCTGTATATACTCATACCTAAAAATATGTAACTTTCGTGTACTTTTCCGAAGAAAAAAAAGTTACTCTCTATCTAGAGGTAAAACTTAACGTAAAATTGATAAAGAAACACTAGCGCTACTAGTGCTAGATTTGCATTGAAGGACGAACCTACATTTTAATTGTTGTATATTAAGGTGTTATATTGACATTGTATTTGAAAGTATACAATTACTAAATAACAAAAATTAAAGTTGATGGTTTTAATAGTTCTAAAAATTTTATCAAAATTTCAAAATGGCGTTAAACATGAAATCCGATTTCCAACGTAGCAATAATCGTTTATTCACTATATAACAGAGACATACCAATATGTTATGTATAATCTGTGGCCAAAGTGGAGATTAGAATTAGGCAGAGCCGTATATATGAATCGGTATACATGGTTAAATCAGTCAGTAGATAATTGTTAATTATTGTACTATAATATTGTAATTATTTAGAATTAAATACTATAATGATTTTGCTTGAGATACATAACAGGATACTAGAGGAAACATTAACGAATAAAATAAAAAATGCCTTATCAGGGTAAGTACAATGTTTTGTTCATTTAAATTTAAGTATTTTATAGTATAATTGTAAGAGGTTTGTGAAAGATTATGAATTAGGGCGGTGTCCACGTTAGTGTTCAACAAATTCATTTGATTATTACGAAGAAATATATATATATAATAAAATATTTATTAAATATGTGATTAGATTGAATTTACTCCTTTTGAAATAAAGGTAAAAGTAATATAACATTTTGTATTGACATTTATTGGTTTATTGCATATTAGTTTGTGTAAATATGTATGAATATTAATCAATAACATTTAGATATCTAATAAAAAAAAGATTATGATTTTATAAGAAATATAAAAAACTATATATTTTTTTAAATTATAAGCCAGTTATTTCATTGTTGCATTTAGTATATAATAAATTAAATTTAGAATAATTTATAACATAGTATATTATTCTTTTATTGCAGACATAAACCGGAGTCAACGGACGTGGTTATAGCAGATTTTGATGGTGTTTTATTCCATATTTCAAATTTAAGTGGTGACAAGTCAAAAATTAGAGTAAGTTAATATGATAGATGTGATTTGTAAAACACATCTTATTTATATAGACAGATATAGACCAAATATTTATATTTTAAAAAATATATTTATATTTCTTACGTAAATTACATATATATATTTGTATATGCATATATATATGTTTATGATAAATCCAACATTAATTAATTTATAAAAAATCTTTTTACAGATTAGTATTTTACTTAAATTTTATAAACAACTGCAAGAACATGGAGCAGATGAATTACTGAAACGAGAATATGGTCCTCATCTTATTGCTCCAGAAAGTGGTAACATTTTTTATATTATATCTTTCGTTAGGTATGTGTGTGAGAGAGAGAGAGAAACTAGAATTAGAGAGAACATATCTATAACAATCAATGGTTTCAGTTGTATTTTAACTCTTTATATTTTTCTTATGTTTTTAGGTTATAATGTGTCAGTTTTGATAGATTTGGAAAATTTACCAGAGGATTGGGAAGCTTTAGTGAAGAAAGTTGGTCTATTAAAAAGGCATTGCTTTGCAAGTGTGTTTGAAAAATACTTTGATTTTCAGGAAGAGTATTATGATTCTCCTGGTACACAAGTTCAAAAGAGAGCAGTTATTCAATATAGAGATCAGGAAACTATGTGAGCATATAAATGTCATATGAATCATAAGCAAATGAATCATAATCATAAACAAAGCAAGATAAATTTAACTTTTTCTCTGCAATATCTTCTTTAATTTAAGGTACGTGGAAGCTAAAAGTGACAGAGTGACTGTAGTATTCAGTACTATATTTAAAGATGAGGATGATATGGTTATTGGAAAATTATTTCTACAAGAATTAAAAGAAGGTAGACGTGCTAGCCATACAGCACCACAAGTTCTATTTAATCATCGAGAACCCCCATTAGAACTGCAGGATTCTGAAGCAGCAGTAGGAGATTGCATTGGATATATTACATTTGGTAAAGATATTTTTTAATTGCAACATGATTTAGAATCATTATAATTTTTCATTTTACATTTTATAATTTATTTGTTTTCAGTATTATTTCCACGGCATACGAATAGAGAAGCACGTAATAATACTATTGATTTAATACACATGTTCAGAAATTACTTACATTATCATATTAAATGTAGTAAAGTTTATATTCATTCACGTATGCGTACTAAAACTACAGATTTTCTAAAAGTACTCAATCGCGCAAGATCTCAAACAAAAAGTACTGAAAAGAAAACAATTACGTGAGTATTTCATTATGTTTATATTATTATATAATATATTTTCAAAATTATAAAATATTTAGATCTTACATTTTTACAGCGGTCGGACATTCATAAGGAAAGAATGAGTTCATATAAAAGTTAATAATACTGAAACAGTTTTAAACGCGGGATAAATGAAATGTTTCATTTATCTCATAATTTTGCTGACAATTCTTAGTTTTTGGTATACAATATATGGTTTATTAACAAAGGCTTGATTACTGTCTTATGAAATTAGTAAACCACAAGTTCTCCATGTATAAGATCAAATGTAATTTTTTTAAAACAATGAAAGATTTTAAGCATATGTTTACGATCCTGAAAATATATTGATAAATTATTTCAAACTTTTTATTAAATTACTTTAATTATAATTTTTTAAATAAATTTTTATAAATATTTTTATTAAGTTGGAAAATCTATAAAAGATATACTAATTATGTAATGCTATTTATTACAATATATTTTGATTTTTGATAAAATATTTCACAGAATATCATTAGTCATGAAATTAATTAAAGAAATTCAGAATAATTTGTTAAAAGCAGGTTTATACGATTTTCTAATATGTCGTCTTATCTGTTAAAAATTCATTTATAATATTTGCTTAAAGCACATAAGTCTGAGCTTTGAATAATTTAAAGTAAACTTGATTTATCCAACAATTCGACTGTACTTTATAAAAAATAATGAAGAAAATCGATTGGGATAAGATTACTTTACTTAATAGATATTGTTGGATAATATGAGCCCATGCCATTATTTTTTTAATTACAATATTGTTTTTTAATAAATAATTATTTTTATTGTCTAGTTTTAGTCATTATATAACAGATTATTATATAATAATAAAAAGATGTTTTATATATATATATATATATATATATATATATATATATATATATAATATATATATATATAATTTTAAATATAATTTTAAATGAATTTTTATGGATCCTTCATGTTTCTATTAAAGTATTTCTATAAATTGATTTTTTCTCTAATATTGATTTCTGGAAAAGTATAGAATCAAAAGAAAACCATACAGGGTGTAAAATAGGGAGTGCCAAATGAAGGTATTCATTAATAACCACACCCATTCATCTAACACTAATATAAAATAACATTGTATTGCTCTTAATGCTTCAGTCATAAGCATTCTTTCAGAGTGAATACCTATAGCATGTGTACAAAAGTATTCTATGGAATATAATACTAATAATTGTTTATAAATGACATGCATTTCCATTCATAACATATATTTTGATAATATTCTATTAAAGATTTTAGTTTCGTTAAAGGTATGTAAAATAATTGAAATATGTAGTTTTAATACTTTTAAATATTAAAATTTGTATGATTTATTTTAAGTATATACTTATATAATTTATGAAAATGGAGATGAACCAGACCACTGTCGGATCAGTTTTATTATCATCATCCAGTATTTCACCATGTTCTGCAAATGAAATTGCTATAAGTCCAGGTGACTGTGTCGAAAGTGGTGTTGAAGAATGGCTTGAAGATGAAACTTTAGCAGGATTTCGCGTTTGGCAATTGGCAGGAATAATTTTATCTATTTTACTTAGCATAATAATTGGATTATGCTGTTGTATTCGATTCAGAATACCAAGAACAAAACAAGAGATAGAAGCAGATTATATTCGAAAGAAAATAACAAAAAATTTTAGAAAGGAATTATCGAAAATAAATAATTCAGATATGGATGAGATGAATTTACAAAAAGGTAAACAAGATTTTTATTTTATAGATGTTTTCATAAAAAAATAAAAAAGAAGCAAATATATGAATCGTGACCTACTTCTTTCTCGATCAAGTTTAATGTAGTACATCTTTTTTGTGTTATTAGCATTAGAAAAAATACGTAATGAATTTGATCCACAAGCATATCAATTCCAAAAAGAGCATGAAAAAATTGCAAATAACAGACCTCAACAAATTGCACAAAAACGGATTAATACTATATTTACTGGTATGCGTGACCATCTTAATAAATGAAAGTGCATTGATAGTGATAACATAATTTAAAATTTCTAATATAAGTAACACTATAATGTATATTTTACGATACCTTTTTCGATTATTTGTTTATTTTACTGAAGAAAAATAAGCTTATTTTTATGAAAAAAATATCAATTGTAATATAAAATAAATACTTAGAAAGTGCAATATATTATTTCAGAGTGAACAAGCTAACTCCAATAAAAATAAGTTGACTAAATATAAGCTTTATTTTATAGATATAGTACAGAAATTATATTACTTCGCATGCAACAGTAATTTGTAGTCACGAATTATGTAGTTCAGACCATTCAATGATACTATGATGTATATTATCTACAATAATATGTGTATATATTTAACATTATTATATTATTAATTGGCTGCTTTCATTACAAAAGTAAATCTATTTAAATTTTTAAAAGTAAAATCAATTTATATGCGCTATATATATAGCCATAAATAAATTTTATTTAAAAGGCGAAGTGATCACAGTAAGTATTATAAGTCATATATATATTTCCATTATGATTGTTAATACATTTATTTTGTCCAATTCTGCAAGTAATGTTCAAATGTATTTATAATCTCTATTTCACTATCTCATAACTAATTGAATATTTTTCGTGCATTGAGAGAAAGATTTGAAAAAAGATTAGAATTTTATACAGAATAATTTTACAGGAATATCTAAAAATTCACAAGCATATATTATGCATCACAATTAAAAGAAAAGTTCTAGATTTATAATAACTGCGGGAATACATAGAACACGTATGTTCTAATAGATTTAGAAATTATTAATTAGTAATTAATTATATGGTATATTCATTTTGAACTCTGATTTTTCATTAGGACTTTTGTCTTAGTTTTGATGTGTAAAATATACCAATAAATTTGTTAACATTCCTTTAGAATTACTCTATATAATTTTATTAAGAATATCCAGACTTTATCATAATTATTATTAGTTGTATTTTTATAAAGCTTCCTTGTGAAAAAATACATAAAAATAGATGCTAATATTTCATTTAAATAAAAAATACAACAAAATACAAACTCATAAATTATTTATTAATTACAAGTTATAAAACAAACAGTTTAAAAAACGAATTGGATCGAAATCTCTTTTGTATCTGCATTTATATTAACTGCAATAATATTGTAGAACTAGGTGAAAAGAAAACTAACACATTAACTGATATTGTATTCTATTAAATAGATATTAGTACTTTCAAATTATATCAAAATAATAAGCAGATCACGATTTTACATTTTTTTTTCCTTTACATGCGTTTAATATATTTTTCGAAATAAAGATTCATGATTTATTAAATTTTTCATCATTTTTCGCAGGGTTATGAACATACTATAAATAGGGCAAAAGAATTATAATCATATACACAGGAATGACTATCGTAAAATTTGAACTATTTTTAACTAGCTAAATTTAATAACGAATTCAGTTTTATTTCTTAAATCAGTAGAACATACGCCAGGAATGACCATATTTTGCGAAGACAATATTGCAATAGTTGCTCACGTCTGTTAATTAAGTGAGCACACACATTTTCTGTTTGAATATATTACAATTAAATTATTACAATAAAAAATGGAACCGTTAAATTATTCATTAAAAATTTTATAAATAACTATTTACAAAAATATATACTTAAAGAAAATTTATAAAATAAATCACGTGACTTATTATACTTATCACAAATCGAGCATTCCTGGTATATCAGAATCGGCGTAAAGCATATCAGAGATATATCGATGTAATTCTTAAATTTGTACACTATCATATACTGTTTATTTTCTTTTTTATTTTTGCTAATATGATATCTTACTTTGATATCATCTCTTAGACATATTTGTTTAGAAATATAACTATCGTAATATTTTTATTAAAAAATTGATTGCGAACAATGAATGGAAAGTAAGATGATCTTTTGATTACAACGCGAGTCTGTGAAAGAAAAAAAAAATTATGCCAAGATTCTACTTACGGTATTATTCGTACTTTTGATTAACACAACGAAAAGGGAGGGAAAGAGTTTCATAAAGATCATTGCAACAAATCTTTTTCTTTCTCTCTCGGTACGTTGTGGAATTTTTTTTCTTTTTTTTTCTTTTTTCTTTTTTTTTTATGAACAACACAAAATAAGCTAATTGCGCGTTGTACGAGAAAAAATTTTGTTCGCATTATTTTCTTGGTAAAAAAGATAATGGAGATCATTGCCTATAACGTGAATGCAGTCTAAGAAAAAGAATACTTCATGGACTAGAGGATCCAGCATCGTAGTTAACGTAACGTAGCACAATCATGCAAAATACAGACTCTAATCGGCAAAAAACCGAAAATATATGCATCGTGAACAATCTCTCTTTCTCTCTTTTTCTCTCTCTTTCTCACACACACACAACACGCGCGCGCAGCAAACAAGCAAACAAACAACAAACACACAAAATTTTTTCTCGCATTCACTCACTTTCTGCTCCTCCTTTTCTTGTTTATTCTTCTTTTTCATTCTCTTTCTCTCTTTTTACGGCATAATTAAATAACTACTTATGCTCGTTAATTTCTAGCTGCATGCGCTTTCCTCTATGACCCTATATCATCATGTTAAACGGGTTAAGGGCGATAGATTTTGACGTGCGAGTGTAACGTTAACAGGATTCCTCTAATTGATGAAAAAGAGTAGGGAACTCGCTACGAGGTAAAAGAGGTTCTTTTGTAGTCATACTGCTATTTCGACCGATCGGCATCGAGTCGTCGTTGCCGCGCTACTTTCAAGCGGACATCGCGCCAAACGGTCGTTTAAGCGTGCCTTCACGATATCTTGTTACGCCACCAAGAGAACTTCATTTTTGGGCTCAAATACTGAAAGCCGATAACTGTTTGAGGAATTAACGAGAGGATTGGTAAGAAACTTCCACAACTACGACTCTTTGGTTCCTCGTCTTGCGATTCTGTTACCGTTCCACTCGCTGTCTTCTGACAAGGCGTCGAATATGGATACGGCGTTGATAATGGATTACATGTTATATGAACGTCTTCGATATTCCACTTGTTTTTTGAATTTGCAATACCGATGTCGTTTTCCTTGGCCTTTCTGCATGTGTCGCTTTGGATGGGATATTGTTCGGGTGTCTTTCTGTACTTATTTGCTTTTGATAAGATACATTTGCTGTTATTAGCAGTATTCATTGCTTTTACATTAGAAACAGCATTGAAGTTGTCTATTGTAAAGTTAGAGAGATCAGACTGTAAACTTGATTTATTTGTAGAAGATTTTAGTGACGCTTTCCGATAAACCTTAGAACGTGTTAGCGGTTTAATAGTCAACTGCGGTGATGATATAGAACGAAAACACTGAACATTATTAGTTTTTTTAGTACTGATACAATAACCATCGTTCGATCTCGTACCTGATTGCGTAACGATAGATGTCTGGGATTTCTGTTTTTCTATATCGATTGACATAGAATGACAAGCAAATGTGGAAGAGGATATGGTATTTTTCTGAGTAATCTCACAATTTTTTATGGTGCTCTCACTATTCTTTCTTTCATTATTCTCTGTCATATATGAAACTGATACAGCAATGCCTTTTGAGTTGAAATTTGATAATTTTGGTACTAAGTTAATAGATTCACTAGTGGTTTCCAAATTATTTAAAGGATGTGATAAAGGTGAAGAATCGATAGGTGAAAGAATATAGGAAAGAGTCCGCGCTTCATTTGTACCTGTCATAGCAGGGACTAATGAAGCGTCCATGAACCCTCAGCTCGGGAATCTTGAATAAAATGCACAGGTCAAATCATAATTTTTGAAACGACAATACTGCGCGTCGGTACGTAGCCAAGCTTCAGAAGAATTCAAATAATCATTCTGCTCCAGCTCGCGTGGACAGCTAGCAGCAATAGATTCCTTGTTGGCAAAGATAGTTACAACGAATTTGCCAGGTTTAAATGTGTTAAGTACACGCCGTATTATCTCTTCATAAGAAGCTTCAGGAATGTTACTTTCAAATGAAACATAAGAAAATTCTGGTTCTGGTGTAATATGAATAGTCATATAGCTTCCCTAGAAAAAAAATCAATCATTATAATGAAATAATATATGTAGTAGAGGATATATTCTATATTATAGATCCTTACGCTTTTGGAAATACCATTCATGGAATAACCACAAGGTTCAAATAAAAAATCATCTATGATCATATTGGGAATGAGTTTATCGATTCCTGATTTTTGAGTAGCTTCGGCAGCAGAAGAACACATATCTCGTGTAAAAATGGCCATTACATCAGGGTCTAAATGAGTCATGAGAATCTCCAAAGTTTGATCTGGTTCTGCCTTTTCTTGTAAGGATTTTTCTCTGTTTAGAGTGTATAAATACCAACAATCTGTGTTGATAGATCCCAAACAGTAGGCTTCTCCATCTAAAATAATTGATTCCTTTTTTAATATCACAGATAGATATTCAATATGTTATATTTTGTTAAAGTTATATCTTATTACCAGGAAAATACGTGTCGAGTAAGGCAACCTCTTCTTCGAATGCATGATGCGGTGAAATTTGTAACTCTGGCCGTTTATAATTCTTGCGCGAATAGAAGAGATCCTGAAACAAATAAAATAGGAAAAACTAATGCAGTTATAATGAATGCGTGCTTGAGAATAATTCTATTAGATTTTTTTTTAATTATTGCATTGTTAGTAGCAATTATATATCAATGCAAATTAATTTTACGCATAGTATATCATGGCTTAGAGAGATCAATAAACTGGAAGGTGAAGATATATTTTGTATGTCAGAGCTTTTCTATATACAGAGATATTACTTAACTATGCACTAGGTCAAGTTATATAGTCAAGTACTTTCATCTTCTACATTTTTGCAGAAAATTATGTATTTTTTTGAAAATAGTATATATTATACATATTTGTTTGAAAACATAAATCAAATATGCTTCATTCATGTCTATTATGGCAGAGACTAATAAAGCATCCGTAAACCTTCCACTCGGGAATCTTGACTAAAAAGTACGGATCAAACCATAATTTTTTAAATAACAATCCTGTATGTCAAATTTCTTCTTATTATATAATATTTGAAATTATCTGTGCAAACCATTTTCAGGACAGAAGACCAATTTTTAGTCCAATGACCATTGGTTCATGACCATTCAGGTAATCAAACCATTTATAAAGACGGACGATATTTGTATAAATCCAAATATACCTCTACTTCGTCAAATCCGGTGTATTGTTCGACAAGCTTAAGGAGAGGCTCCAAACATTGTAAAGGTGTTGTAGTACCACATGTTTTCAAGATAAGTCTGCGCTTTGATAGGAACATACTACTTTCACTGCAAATATAAAATTTATTTTATTTTAGATATATATTTAATAAAATATATTGCATATTAAATATTTTAAATGTCCTCATTTATTTGGTATAATATACATATAATCAAACAAATGAGAATCTCTTGATGCATTGCAATCACGTTATTCGTGATACTAATAACAATCGAAATGTGCTAATTCATGAAGCAATTTGCATAATGCTTTTTAAAAAGATAATATATATATATATAAAATTATCTTTCTAGGAAAACGATGAAATCATGCCAATAATTAGTAAATAACAAAATTTTGAAATATGTAGCTGGCATAAACAAAATTTACGAAAAGATAATGACAGCATGCAGTCGATTAGGTTAGAGTACTTATAATTATTAAAACAGAGTTCTTAAAAGAATTAATGAAATGGGAAAATAAATTTTTTCTTTTACACAATCATTCATGCAATATGTATTGTACATAATCTACATAGAACTTATGAATATATCAATTTCAATATACGAAAAAAGAACTACTGGTTGCAAAATAATTTGAATTTAAACGCGAACGGGTACTTTTTAATAGAAGGAAAAAAAATAAAAGAAATCGGAAGAGTTCGATGAATGGTTAAATGAATATATCAAGGGTTAATTGATAAACGTCAATTTATCGCAACCAGTCGAAAATATTTCTCGAAATATTTCTTAAAAGGAGAATCATTTTCATCGCCATTTAAATACTAAGCGCGGGAATGACAAGAAGGTCATCGAAGAATGAAAGTTATTAAAAGATATTTAGTTGGCGTCCACTGGTCAGTTATATTTTTAGTTTTAAGTTAAACTGCTTTTAGCTAGACACGGATAAAGGTATTTCGTGATAAAATATCTTTTTTTTTTCGAATGAATTTCGAATTATTGTGCATTTGAGTGACGTAGTCTTAACAGATATTAAGCTATGATACAAAGCTGCCTTATATATATATATATAGATATTATATATATATATATATCATTTGGATCGAAAGAAAGAGAACAACTCTAAGAATTGTTAAAAAGATTATTCCGTCTTGGACATTCCATTTGTATCCTTTCCCTACGAGGAAAATGATATCTCTATCGAAAAATAATGAACTCTTTGCCTAAAATTAAAAATAATGTTATTAAAGGTTATCGACGATTTACCATTTCACGAAAGAGGGGACGTTGACCCGAGATTTTCAGTGACAAGAGAGAACGATAAGATTAACCACTAAGTAATAATATAATGTTATCTCTAATGTAGATTGCTAAAAATAAATATGATAAACAAGAAATAAATTATAGCGCTACGTTATGTATCAGTATTACGTATTAATCATTGTTAATTGGTTATTAACGATTTTATCAAATATAAAACGAATCTTTACTCTCTTACCTATATTTGTGACATTCTTATTATTATGTTTCTATACCTATTTCTTTACTATTATCGCATCGTTTGTAATTGATATGATTCATTTAAACGTCTTTATCTTAATCTTTAGAACATTGTTGATTCTTTCAAGACAATCTCTTCGACGTATGCATTTATCTCTCATTGCAATTGATAAGGCTCGATTATCATTTATTTTTTTAAATTTGTCCTTATTATAAAAAGAATTGTTCAGATTTAAAACAAATTTTGTCTAATAAACTAATAGGGACTCTGTAAGTCAATCTGAAACGATAAACGTTTTGCTATCGTATTTACGAGTTTATCAAGGCGACCTTTGCTTCTTAGGAAATATCGTCCCAACATTTAATTTAGAAGCGTTTATCTCTATATTTGCAGAAGAAAGAAGAAATAAAAAAGAAGGACAGAAGAAAAAAGAAAGGATAACAGAACTCAAAGTGCCTTAGCTGTAACACGTTATCGTTAATAATTAATTGAACATCAATTCGTGCATCGAACATAAAAACGTTGATTTTTGCAGAAAGACATAGCAATGGCATCGTGATAAAGTATTAGTAAATTAATCGCTTCTTCGACTACTTCAGCGAGGATACTTTTACATTCCTATTAATTATAAGTACGATGATTATCATATAATAACTTTGGTTTGTTAACGAAGAAGCATAAGCGTTAAAAAACAACTGAAGCATTATATATTCTAAAGCACTGTATTTTATTAGTCAAAAAACAACAGAACATCTATCTTTGTTATAACATTAATGCTTAATAAATATACAACCTCGCTGTAATAGCCATTTACATTGTGCCATTAAAATAATCGAATTGTTATTAGTAAAATCCATTTTTTTTTCTTATATTAAGTTTAATCACAAAATTAATCATATATATGCCCGCGTTGGAAAGGATGTTGAAGTTCTATGAATGAAGTCGAACTTGGATTTTATCTATAACCGATTAGTTGATTTATTTTAATAAAGTTCTAAAATTAATTGTATGAAATAAGGAAAAATGTATATACATACATACTACGGTACAAATATCAAAAGCAGATAAAAGCTTATCTTTAAAGATTATCACGTTTATCTTAATCAAAGTTCGACTCGAGTATCTCGATTGTATTGTTTACAAATTAAATCATTTACAAATTATCATTACTATACGAAAGATATATTAATCGTTAGAAAAATATGCAAATGTAGATTAATATCCTATTGAAATCCGAGTTATCTTAGGTTTTTAATTCAACTTGGTGTTAGTTGTTCTTAAATTTTTACATTACATATCCTGTTTTAAACTTTCATCGTACTCGAAGTGACATAAGATCTAACAGATCGGACAGGATATTTTTATAGGCGCAACTCGATGGAATAATAAAGGTATGAACAGTAATATAAATAAATAAAAGATAAAAAGAGAGTTGATTTTGTTTGTAAAAAAATAAATTTGTAAAACTTTGCGTATTATCAGTTTGACAGAAAGTTTGATCTTACCTCGAACGAACAAATCTTTCGCGAATTAGGTCAAAATGAAACGTAAAACTATTACGATTGTTTTCAATAATTAAATTATACATGCATCATATAATTATTATTAATGCAAACTTTCAATTACCTGAGCACATAGGCATCTACTTGATCATTGCGGCAGAAGCTGATAATTTCGCATCTAACGATCTTCAACAGGGATTCCCATTTTTGCCTGAAAATCAAAATAATCATTCCTTTAATTAAAAAAATTAATTCTTTCTTTTTTATCTCTCTCTAATTGCATTTTATTTTTAGGATAATTTATTTTAAAAACAACTTTAAGACGATTAATAAAAACGAACGATATAGAAAACGCTATTATTATTATCATCATCATCGTCTTAAGCAATTTATGATAGTATTCACTTTTATATATATATATATATAAGCAAGCTACAACACCAGTATGCTAATCGATGATGCATCATTCATTCTGACTGCAAGGAGAACATAATCGTTGTCTTTTACATCTCCCCCACCTCTTTCTCTCTCGCTTTCCCCCCCCCTT